AGCGACTCCCCCGACGGCCTTGTTTCTTTTTTCGCCACAGAATACCGCGACGCTAATAAACGGATTGACGAGGTAAGTTGCTATAAGAGTTTTGTTGACGACTTTTTTGCAATCCCTCCCGCAGATCGCATAAAAAAACACAAACTTTTTTTTTCCGGGGTACTTGATTATCTCGTTCACTACACAAAAATAGTCTAATATTTCACAGCACAAGCCCACTCAAAACTAATCAGAATAAATAGGACAGGGTGCAAATTACTGGCTAAGATCTTGGTTGAAATTTTATCTTTGTATTTAACATTGTTAAAGGGTAAAAATTACTAATTCCATTTTGTTATATTTTCGTAAAAAAAAAGGAAACTAGCTTTCTTGTCCACGTGACTTTTACATGTTCCCATTCCTCTTTAAAAGCTGCGTTCTTCTTCCTTTTTATTCTGAATTCTCTCCTTTGTTGATTACTGACTGCTGTGAATTAAGTTCAGTAAAGCCTTAAGAAAAGGTTATTCTATCCTAGCTTTCTTCTCTGTACTACGTAACAATTTACTGAACTTAACTCCTCATGGACAAGATTATTCGTCTGGACAAGTTTGATATATCTTCTGCAGACCCTCAGGCTAGCTAGCTCTGGAGACTATGGTACCGTAATTTTAATTATTACTTATCAACTATTGCTTCTTTAAACCCAGACAAACTCGAAGTCCTTTATTTAAACATCAGTGCTACCGTTGCTGATATTATCGAGGGTTGTTCTGGATTTGAATATGCTGTTGAATTGCTGAAAAGTGTTTATGACAAGTCTCCAAGTGTTATTCATGCTAGACATTTGTTGTCTACACATCTGCAGCAGGAAAATGAGTGTAGACCAATACCTTCAGGCCTTGAATCAACTTGCTGCTGACTGTTGCTTCCAAGATGTTACTGCTACTACTTACAGGGGATGAATCTGTCCGTTGATGCATTTTATACGTGGTCTCCGGTCCCCCGTGTCGTGCCAGACTGCTTGAAAATGATACACTAACTCTCAAGGAGGCTACTCAATGTGCTAGAGCCTTAGAACAGGCTCACTTTTGTGCTGAATCATACGCTTCTCAGATTGGATCAGCCGCTGCTACTACCACTAGGACTAAAAATGTGTTTACTGATTCTGCCGAGGAGGCCACTTCCACTACTATTACTAAAATATGCTTTCTGACTTAACTGATTCTCGTACAGAAAAATGACTCTGTACAATTGTCTGCTGCCCTTGCTTGTGACAAGTGCTACAACTGTGGAGGGAAATGTCACTTTGGAGGATAATTGTCGCTATTGTCCTGCCCGTGTCGAGGCTGTAGCAAAATAGCGGTCATTTTTTCTAAAGTTTGCCGTTCTACCATGCCGGCACCTTCACGCCTCTACCTCAGCTATTATAGTAGCCCGTGCTAAAGACGATGATAGGTCTCCTCCAGTTACTAAAACTTTAGAATTAAAAGGAAAGAGATGAACTGCTCTCATAGACACCGTAGTTCTGATAACTTTATCAGTGCCCGTATTGTTAAAACAATGAAACTGTCTACTTCTAAACGAATTCCGTAATTTCCATGGCATCATCTGCCATTTCCTCAAACTATCTGTATATTGTACTGAGGACATTATCTTCAATGGTTCTTAATATAAACAAATTGACTTTACAGTACTTCCTGATTCCTGTATGGATATTATACTCGAGTGCCCTTCTTAAAAACTACACCAGAGTATCACTATTTCTTTTGGTGGATCTCAGGATATTCTAAAATCTGCACTTTAACCAAGATCAGTTGTGCTCCTGTTAAGTTGTTCCGAAACTTGACCCCTGACTGCAAACCTATTGCTACTAAATCCCGAAATTACCGTGTGGAGGATGCTCAGTTCATTGAAAAAGAAATTCTACAACTGCTTGAGGATGATATAATTGAAACAAGTTATTCTCCGTTGGCATGCTCAAATTGTTGTAACCGTCACCTAATAAAAAGAAACGATTGGTAGTCGATTTCTCCCCAGACTATTAATCAGTTCACCTTACTTGATGCCTACCCTTGCCTCCAAATTGAAGATCTTGTAAACCAAATAGCCCAGTATCGTATCTATAGTATAATTGACTTGTCCAAAGCGTGCTATCAGATTGAAATTTGCCCCAAGATTGCCCCTATCGGCCTTTCAAGCTGGAAATCGTCTGTACCAATTTAAGCGAATACCCATGGTGTTACTAACGGGGTTTCTGCCTTTCAGCGATTTATGAATTCTTTCATTTCTGATAACAAATTATCTGGAACCTTTTTTATATAGATGATATAACTGTTTGCGTAAAACCCAGGAGGAGCACGACGTCAATTTGGAATGTTTCTTAAAGGCTGCCTCGACATACAACCTCGAAATAAATCGGAAAAAATCAGAGTTTTCACTTCGTTCTATTAACGTGCTTGGATATCAAATTTGTAACGGAACTATCCAACCCGATCCTGAGCGTTTGAAGCCACTTTTGCAAATGCCTCCTCCTTCTGACTCAAATTCGATAAAAAGGTGTCTTGGTATGTTTGCTTACTATGCAAAATGGATACCTAAATATTCACACAAAATTCGTCCACTGGTCGAAAATAAACAATTCCCTATGCCTCCTAGAGTTATAAATTCTTTCGAAAAACTTAAGAAAGACATTGCTGAGTCATCTGTAAAAGTTATTGATGATGAATTGCCATTTACTATTGAAACTGATGCCTCAGAAAAGGCTATTGGAGGCACTCTTTTACAAGCTGAGCGACCTTAGCATTCTTTTCTCGGTCGCTAAACCCCTCTGAAATATGACTTCATTCTGCTAGTAATGTTCTGATCCATTCTACTGCGCCATTTCAGTGTCTTTCCATAGACTACAAAGGGCCTGTCCCGGTATCCCCGACAGGTTACCGATATATATTTACTATCATCGACGAATATAGATGATTTCCCTTTGCCTTTCCTTGCCGCAATTGCTCTTCGCAAACTGCTTTTCAGTGCCTGACAAGTATTTTCTCCATTGTCGGGCTTCCCTTGTTCATTCACTCTGATCGAGGAACTTCATTTATGTCAGGAGAATTTAAACAATTTCTAACACGACTTGGAATTGGATGCAGTAATACTACTGCTTATAACCCTAGAAGCAATAGTCAATGCAAACGTTACAACGGCATAATTTGGAATACCATATTATTGGCCCTGGAATCAAAACAGTTACCAATTAGTGCTTGGTAGGATGTTCTACATGATGTGTTAAATGCTATCCTCCCCCCGCTTATGCACCACTCAGAATGCAACCCCCCACTAAACAATGTTCAATTTTGAAAAGGCGGTCCTCCACGGGTTCGTTGCCTGTTTGGCTCTGTGAGCCTGAGGAGGTATTATTAAAACGATTCGTGGCAGAGGTAAATATGACCCTATTGTTGAGGTGGTGGAACCCTTGAGGCCAACCCTAACATGCCAAAATACGTCACAATGATGGCCGGAAGATTCGTGGCGCTGAGATGGTTGGCACGTTTTCCATGCCGGATGGACCTCAAAATGGACCTGAAAATACTCAACCCGACGTGGACCATGCAGATTCAACCCTTTTGCCTGATGCAGGTCCCGTTAATATTATACAGAAAATGAATCTGTGAATAATAGCCAGAATCCTGAAAGTCAGCCTTCTCAGAGATCTGGCTCTTCCAGTGGTGAACTACCTCCACGCCGGTCTGGATTTATAAAACTTTTTCAATTACAATCTCTTTTGCAAGTTGGGGAGAATGTTATATTTTCGTAAAAAAAAAAAGGAAACTAGTTTTCTTGTCCATGTGACTTTTCACACGTTCCCATTCCTCTTTAAAAGCTGCGTTCTTCTTCTATTATTTTTATTTTATTCTGAATTCTCTCCTTTGTTGATTACTGACTGCTGTGAATTAAGTTCAGTAAAGCCTTAAGAAAAGGTTATTCTATCCTAGCTTTCTTCTCTGTACTACGTAACACATTTTCACTATGTTTATCCTTGTGCAGTAACAATCACATCCCTGGTGAAGTGTTGGAGTTTAGCCCTTTGCTTCATTTAATTGTTAAAAATCATTTTTAAGAAAGAAACAAACATTGGTGTCTGTCTTAAGTACAATTCATAAGGAAGACCATTTAAACCTGGAGCCTTGTCTATGCCAACAAGTTTCAGTGCTTCCTAGTTCTTGGACTCTGTTACAGGATCCTTGCAGCCAGCTGCTTCAGTTGCATCAAGGTGAATGAAGTTGGTTAAATAGGCTCAGACTAGGTTTCCTCGTGAATAGTTCTTGAAAGTAATTATGAAAAGCCTTACATATGCCATTGTCTGCCCTCCATCTGGCAGTGTGTTGCTCTTGATAATTCAATCAGTTGCATTCCAAAACTCTTTTGCACAGAATTCAGCTGCCATATTAATCACACAGAAGACTTTCTCTTTAACTTAGTCTTTCTTGGAGGCCGTTTAATGTGGTTGTAAAGAAAAGACTTAACTTATAGTAGCAATAAATTTCTTCTGTATCTTGACTGCAACACTTGTAGCCAAACCACAGTTCATACAATAGCCCGTTGTAACAGTCCAACAAGCAGCGTAGAAATGACAAAATGGGGTCACATGTCCAACCATCACTTCTCACCAGCAAAAGTGTTTGTCTTCCGAGCTCAGAAAATCTCCTGCCTTTATAAGTGAAGAACAACGGCTTTTGTTCACCGAGAGATCTTTCTGATTGGTCATGCCATTTAGGGGAGGGAAGAACATTAGCATAAATTCTCGTCCTTAAAGTAAATTTTTCTTTTTTTTTTTGCTAACTAGTTTGTGGTAATTTTTCTTCAGCAGATTGCACACAAAACACACTCTTTTTCAAGGTAGCTGATTATCTCTTTCACTACACTCCCCCCTGTCACATAAGTGACACTCAGGGTTGGGCCTCTTTATTCTTGAGCTTCTCCAGAGCGGGGCGACTGTTGGAGGGGATTGTGTGGTATGTTCTGAAGACTCATCTTCTGAGGAATTCTTCTGATCTGACAACCACATGCACAGAGTCTTCGCCATCTGAAGAGGTGCTAGCCCTACCTTCGATGGTGATTATTCGTTCACTTCCTGAGCACTCACTGCTAGTCTCACTTGTGGAAGTATCTGAACCTAGATGGTGACGCAAGTCTTTTACGTGTCTTGGTATTCCATCAACCAGCACAGAGCGCAAGTTACTTATTCCAGTGACATGCCTCACCCGGTACCGAGTTGTACACCGGCTATGTGGAGCCTTCACCTACACGTGATCGCCCAATTCATACAGCACTTGTTCTTTTATTCGTTCAGTTGAACGCGTTGTGTCAATGCCTCTTAGCCGGACTTTGTACTGGTAAAGCATGTTGGCTGGCGCAGTTGAAGGTGATACATTATCTTTAGGAGTAACGTTGTGCCACAACATTGCTTCCTGGCAGTGATTCTCTTGATGCTTTGATGGCATCGCTCGATTATGCCATTTCCCGATGGGACATACACGCAGCGAAATCTGAGGTAGACTACCCACGAATCTAAAAAATCTTTAAATAGTCCACTGCGGAATGCAGTGTTGTTGTCAGTGAGGAGTTCTGTTGGAGGTTCACGTTCAAAGAACAACGCCCGCAAATGGTCAATCATGCTTACAGAATCCTGTCGACGCAGACGTCACCAAATAGTGAACCAAGCTGGGCCACAGTCAATAAGGGTTAGATAGTGAGTTCCATTATGATGGGTGATGTCCATTCCAACACAGTGCCACAATTTGCTCACACTCAGTTGTCCTTTTGGCCATTGCACAGGTGCTGGGTTGATGGACTGACACTCCTTGCATTCTCTGACCACTGCCCTGACAGCAGCTTTGGATACGGAGGGATCAATCTGCCTCACAAAATATACACCGGGATGTCCGCTTTGGCAATGCACAGATTTTAGTAAATCTGAGTTACAGTTGCTGGCTGATGTTGCCTAGACATGTCCTACCAGCTCTACCTCTTTCTTAACAGCGTCAAGCCATCTCTGGGGTACCCTTGTTAAAGTATCTGCCTTGTTCCGATTTGATCTGACCAGCTGTATATCTACTGATAAGTTGTACTCACTTACCAACTTTCCCAGTGTGTCTAGCATGTTATAAATGAGCATTTCACGGTGCAGCCTTTGTACGTATCCTGGCCTTCGCCGTAAGAGTATCTACTATCCACATATGCACGCATGCAGAATCCATGAACAAATGCAACACATTTGCATTCAGTCCTTAAAGTAGATATTTTTTTTTTTTTTGCTAACTACTTGTGGGGAAAATTGTGAAAATGGCTTACCTCAGAAATGCATGCGCTTCTGTGCAGTGTGCAAACTCCGGTCCTCCCAACAGTAAAAGGAACAACCAAAATGGCGGCGCCCATATTTTATGCCGGGCGGTCTCGGTTAGTTAACGCGAAATCTCATTGTCTCGTCATTCGCATGCAAATCGTGGTCGGTCCTCGGCTGTATAAAGCAGGATCGTTTTGCTGTTTGGGATCAGAGAGCTTTCGGCTCGTGAGAAGGTTGGATGTGCGACACCGGTTTCTTTGTTCCTACCTGCTATCATCAGTTGAGTTGTTGCATCACCTCCCACACTACTTTTTGGTAATTTTTCTTCAGCAGATCGCACACAAAACACAAACTCTTTTTTGAGGTAGCTGATTATCTCTTTCACTACAAATCATCTGATCTACTCTAGATTCACATATCATTTATACTGCTAATCTATCAAATGTTGACAACTATAATTAGCTGCAAATGAACTAAACCCTACATTTCAGATAATGTCACTACTTATTCCCAACCACCACCACTGTCAATTCTCATTTCAGTGTTAGTAATATCTGTTACTGTAAATCCTTCTCATTGAATAATGTGTTGAATATTCAGTACCCAGCACTCACAGACTATCTAAGTTTACATAAACTCAAGCCTATGATCCGTATAAAGTATCAAATAGAAAATTGGAGAACCTAAAAGCCATACATCAAATTGCTTAACTAAATCTTGGTTGACATAGCAACTGTGAAACCGAGCTGTCCCTATTAGTCCAAATCCACACTACTTATTTATAAACTTATCAATAAAGTTATGAAATATCTTTATGCCTGGGTTATTAGTACCTGAATTTTTCTCATAAAATGTTGTAAAAAAAAACAAAAAAGAAAAAAAAAAACAGCCTGATGTGCCAAAACAAGTGAAAATGTTATCATTGGGTGCATAAACCCCAATGAAGTGAAGTGCCATATTGCTTTTGGTAACATCCAGCACATTAAATCTGCCTGCTGGATCTGCAAAAACGAGGGCACACTTTGCCATCTAAGACTTGCTTATCAGCCAAGATACACCTTGTGAGCAGCCATCAAAGCATTGCTAAGAAAGTAAACCTCCCTGACAGTATATCTTCAAGGTCACAAGCATTAAACCAGGTCTCCTGCACACAACATACATCCACTTAGGTGTTTAAGATCATGAATGAGTCTTGCCCTGCAAGACTCCAACCTTAGACTACAGACATTCACACTAGCTAACCAGTGAGCCATAGTCAGAGCTAATCCTTCTAATTGAACATGCTCAGAGAAAGGACATCAACCACCTTTCTCATTGACACTTGGTGTCTGAAAGGAACTTTGACCTTAGAGAGAGAGGTTGGGGTGACATCTTGATGGTATTGTCTCCTCTATTATGCTACTGAAACCAATTTAACAGTTAATATTCTCTTTGCATTGGAGAATTTCACTAGATTCTCAACATCCTTTCCATTAACTTTTCTGAAAGCAAGCAGAAATTTTATGTCTTTACTTTGTAAGAGCTTTTGGTGGTGATATGGAAGATGATTACCCTAAATTTGAATGGTTTATTCACCCTTTGTTTCAAGTTAGAGATTTCTCCAACAATGCTGAAGACTTAGATGGTATGGAAGACAGGGTGGAAGTTGTGCTGGAGGAAGATGAAATGGTGATAGGTGTGGGCACATTATTAAACAGTCATTTTGGAGGGGGTGATGGGTAACAGATCATGTTATCTAAGTAGAGTCATTATGTCTTGAAAGTTGGGAAAGATGGGCCAGAGGATGAGGAGCCTGAAAAGATTCATTTTGCCTGGCCTTTAACTTGTGACTTGCCATTCCTCTTGTCCCTTCTCCAAATCCACAACTGTGGCAGGTGAAGGAATAGAGAAATTAGAGTCCCAAAAGAGATTCAACTGTAAGCTTTTTTCAACTGGTACTGATAGAAGGCATACCCACTACACATATAACAGAACTAGAAATACTGGTCTGAGGTTGATTTTAGTCATTTTGGCTTGGAATTTGAGAAGGCTTCTTCTCTAGGCAGGTAAGGTCACCAGTTTCACTACACTTACAGCAAGTTGGTTTCCTACCTGTCACAATGACAGAATATTTCTGTCCTTTACAGATCCAAATGATTGAGAATAATGGCAAAAAATTCCTGATCCAACATAATGCCAAGCCTCATTTCCATACATATGATCTGAGGAGATACCTATAATTTTCTCATACTGCATAAAGTATGCAACAAGATGCTCCACAAGAATAAATGAAGGTACCTTGTAAACTTCTACAATTATGTGACACATTCACTGGTTATCCTGTTCTTAGTATCAAGTTTTTTTGTGATTAATTCCTTTTTTGTAAAAGATATACTTTCTTCAAGTGTGGGTAGTAGAATGTTCCACATGAAATAGCCCTTTCCCTTTATAATCTGTTGGTGCTTGACCCCCAATGATGCCAGTGATTTGATCACTGTGCCTTCTATGGAGTAATAAATTTTGCATGTATGCTTGTCCACAACAAAAACCAACATGGTTCTTCTTCTAGTCTGTCAAAAGCCCACCATTTTTTAATAAGATGGATGTAGTGTTTGGCTGTCTCCATGAGCTCTGTCACATTGATTATGCATTTGAGAAGGGACTTCCAGTATGAGGGAGATTCTTTGGCTGTCATGCTATTTGTATTATTCATTTAGTTTTGATTTTTCAGTTGTTTCATTGTTTCCTTGACTTTTGCCTGATCATTGTTCTTTTTTGTTGTTTTTTTTTCCATTATTTTCATTTCATTAACACAATTATTTGCCTTTGATTTGTCTGTGCTTTGTCCTACACAGTTCAAATTATTTTCATTTTCAGAGGAAGACATGTTTTTGCCTTAAAGGCAAATACTAAAAAGTTTTTTTCCTGATTGCCTTTTCTTGGCCATTTTGAAAATATTTCTTTTTTTTTGTTTTTTTTTTGTTCAGCAATATTATAAATATTTTTTATTGAGGTCAAAACTATAATTTTCCTACTTTTCAAAACAAAATAAAAAATAAAAAATGAAGTAAGAAAATTTAACCAAGAAAATACAAAAAGACCAAAACAAAAATACAAAATTAATCAAATTTCATGAAAGCAAAAAAGACATCCAACCAAACAATGGAAATCAAACTTTAGCAAGAAATGTGAGTAGAAAAGTTTAAGATAAAAGCTAGTGTAACAAAGAGATTACACCAGAAAAGGAGAAAAAAAAGGTTATAGTAAAAGTAAAAATTAAAAACTAAAAATTCACAAAAAATTTAAACAATAGGTGTAAAAATGTTCACACCATTTGATTTTTAGATATTTTTTTAAGAAAACATTTAAAAATCTAAGTTTTCAGAAAAATTAGTAAAAAATACCATGAGATTAAAAAAAAAAAAAATCTGTGTGAATATGGACACAAGATAATGAATGAAGAGGTCAGCAGCTGACACAATTACTCCTGAGAAGAAACTGAGTAAGTTTACATAGAATTCTTTTAATCTGCTAGTGTTAATTAGAACTCCTTGAGTTAGTTGGGAGAACAAACATAACTAGCAAGGATGGGCTAACCTTCAATTTCTCTTATATCATATCGTTATATATGAATAACAGCAAAATTTTCATTTTCTGAATTTTTATTTTAAAATAGTTTGCTATTCAAGAAAAAAAATAGGATTCAGTAAATTGAATTTTTAATAAGAAACTAGCATTAATCCAAATCCATATTATAAATCTATGTCAATAACTAAAATGTAAATTTAAAAAATTATAATTAATAATGTGATTATTCTGAAATATTTTATCAAATCATTTTCAAAAAGAAACAAATTTGAATGCTCACCTCTACTTGAAAGATTACATACTTGAGCAGATTGTCGACATCTTGATGTTGGCTGCATACTGGAGAGCGGTCTCTGTATTCTGAGAATGATGCAGCTAAATTTTACACTTATACAAAAACACAAACATTTGGTAAATCGTACCATTTAATTGCATAAAACTTTTATAAATATTAAAAAGTATTTATTCATTCTGCATATTTTCAGCCAGCTCCTATTATGAATGAATTTAAAAAAATCTAACAAACTGAATGGATCTGTAGAAACAAAGTCAGAAACTAAAATTTGGAGAAGGAAAGTATCTGATTTATTGAAAAAAACAAATCAATCAATAAAGAAAGTTTATTCCATTCATAAAACAATTTGGTTATTTTCTTGGTACTGGACTGAACATGGGTGAAAACTTAAAGCCCTATAAATATTGGTTCACAAAGTCATGTGTATCAGATGAGAACTATTTAAAGATTTTTTGGATTTGTGGGGAGTCTACCTCAGATTTCGCTGCGCATATGTCCCATCAGGAAATGGCATAATCGAGCGATGCCATTGGAGTATCAAGAGAATCACTGCTAGGAAGCAGTGTTCCATAATGGAGGCGGTGTATTGGCACAACGTTACCCCTAAAGACAATAATGTATCACCCTCAACTGTGCCAGCCAACATGCTTTACCGGTACAAAGTCTGGCTAAGAGGCATTGACGCGACGCATTCAACTGAATGGATAAAAGAACAAGCGCTGTATGACCGGGGCGATCGCGTGTAGGTGAAGGCTCCACATAGCCAGTGTACAACTTGGTACCGGGTGGGGCATGTCACTGGAATAAGTAACTTGCGCTCTGTGCTGGTTGATGGAATACCAAAACACGTAAAAGACTTGAGTCGCTATGTAGGTTCAGATACTTCCACAAGTGAGACTATAAAGTGAGTGCTCAGGAAGTGAACGAATAATAACCATCAGAGGTAGGGCGAAGACTCTGTGCATGAGGTTGTCAGATTGGAAGAATCCTCAGGAGACGAGTCTTCAGAACATTCATCAGATGCCGAAGCCTCTATGCCTGAGGTTGTCAGATCAGAAGAATCCTCAGAAGACAAGTCTTCAGAACATACCACACAATCCCCTCCAACAGTCGACCTGCTCTGGAGGAGCTCAAGAATAAAGAGGCCCGCCCATGAGTGTCACTTATGTGACAGGGGGGAGTGTAGTGAAGGAGATAATCATTTACCCCGAAAAAAAGTTTGTGTTCTGTGTGCGATCTGCTGAAGAAAAATTACAAAAAGTAGTTAGCAAAAATCTACTTCAATGACTATAATCTATTCTAATGTTCTCCCCTCCCCTGAATGGCGTGACCAATCAGAAAAATCTCTTGATGAATCAAAGCCGTTGTTTTTCGCTTATAAAGGCAGAAGATTTTCTGAGCTGCGGGTGAAACGTGTGTTTTTTTGCTCGTGAGACGTGAAGGTTGGACGTGTGACTCCATTTTGTCATTTCTACTTTGTCTGTTGGTTTGTTACGACGCGCTATCATTTGAACTGCTACAAGTGTTGCGGTTGAGAAACAGAAGAAATCTATTGCAGTTGCTACTATAAGTTGACAGTCTTTTCTTTTCTACAACACATACATAAAAATCCAATGATAGACAATGAGAGGGATGAACCCCAAAACAAGCTAAACATGAACACAATGTAAACTAAACATAACTGATGTTAGTAGGGCCTGTCCAACCCTCAAAAAGAGAGGCCACTGTATTCTGCCCTATTGGACAAAATCAAGAGGCTCTCTTGTTAAGGAGTGGGAAATGATAAAAAATATACGGACATGGGTAAATAAAATGCTGACCCAGTCGAAATAAAAGGGAGCCAAAACAAACTGGGGAGGTTGGGGATCTTAACTTGGATCATAACCAAAGATGAGGCCAGGAACAGGCCAGGAACAACACTTACATTAACTAGGTACACAAAGCTTATCTAGCCTAACCAGGGGAGAGCTCCACAGAGACCTAAAAGAGAAAATCAAGGCTAGCCCCGTTCACACGAACCAAGCTTGCCTCAGTCACCCTCCTTTCGCTAAAGGTTCACAAGAACAGTCTGTCCTGGGTAGTGGCTAGGGGGATTCCCTAGAGTTAGGCCTAGCTGGAGAGTCTCTGTGGCATGTGGCTAGTGAGCACTACCAGGGTCAGGTAATTAGTTAAACAAGATGTCTACTGAAGCTGTGAACATGGGTGCAGAATTGCACAAGGAAGAGATCCATCAAGGTTCTGATTGATACCCTGGAGTGACATACTCTGAGGTTGGTTGATGGCATGTGCAAGATGTTTCGGCAGCATTTCAAGAGCTGCTTTACCAAGGAGCCTGGTCTCTTCGATGAAGAGTTTCACAGCTATTTGGCTGACTTTTCTTGGCTATCTGAGAGAGGGAAATTATGGAGGGCGAACTCGTCTTAGCATTAAAGAAGGTTAGCAGTGGCAAGTCTTCGTAACTTGATGGTCTGCCCTATGAACTGTAATTAAACAACCTGCATCTGATCTGCATGATCCTAGATGATGTAAAAGACGAATGATTGTGCTGATCAATTTGACATGGTTGACCTTTGGTACCTGGCTGCTGTCCTGCAGGTCGCTGGATTCAAACCTGACTTCTGAATGGCATTTGAATGGTATAAAAAGGTCACAGGGGACAAGATTAATCATAACAAGTCTTGTAGTTTGTGGTTAGGTACCTGGAAGGGGGTTGATTTTCTGGGGTCCTTTCGTTGGAATGATGGACCTGTCTGCATTCTTGGAGTATGGTTTGGACCCAGAGTCCAGCTGAAGAAAAACTGGTCAGACATACAGGCAAAGCTCATAGCAGCAGTTGGGACTTGGCTCCAACGGTGGCTGTGATTGAAGGGTGTGCTACTTACGTATTTCCTCTGATCCTTTACCAGTTGTCTATACTTCTTCTCTGTAAGAAAACGATTGAACACTTACTCTCCTCCCTCTTGTGGAGTGGTCACAAGCATCATGTTGACAGAAGACTTGATCTTCTCTAGCCTTACCATCATTCCTTTCATTTCTAGGGCTGAGTGCCTTTGTAAGCCCTGGAATCAGTTGAGTTTTCTCAATGTCGGATAGCCTTGAAGGTCATTCCTCGATCCAGTGACCTTTATTGGCCTCTTCTAGGCCAAGAAAGGTTACTGGTCTTGTATCAGGAATTAGTGGAGGAGGTCGCAAAGGATCCACTCTGCAACCAGTTTGGCTTGTTGGTGGCCAAGTTGCGCTCTTTTTGGTCTTTGGCACCAGCAGCAATTTACTGCTTACCTGGAGATTGGTGGAGATTAGGCTATCTCTCAATAACACACCCTTAAAATGAGGCTTGGCAAATTTGCCTGTCATCGGTGTGACTTTGGCTTCGAGGAAATGGCTTTGCACACTTACCATTGTCCTCAGGTGTGCTCCTTCTGCGACTATGTTGGCAAATTGACGGCTCATATCATTCCTGAAAAGCTTGTGCATTGTGATGACGATGTGTCACCCGCCGTATTCTGGGGTGAATTAGATGTTTTTTTTTGCACTGTTAGCCATGGCTAGAATGGTGATTTGGACAATGCAGATGGAGGAAATCTTGTGATGTTGAATTCTATTCTCATCAGGATCTGGCCAGATTCTTTGAGCTCAGGGAGAAAATCAGAACTGATAGAAAATGTTTCATATTGACAGATTTCAGTGAAAGGTGGGTAACTGCAGTGAGCCTAGTTCAAGTGAATGGGGCATTTTTAAAGTCGCAACGGGGGAGTTTTTTGTGGAGCCCTAACCTGGTTAAGATAGACTCTTCTTGTTTAGCTATTTAATGTGAGTAAATATTGTTATCATACGTCAAGATTCCCAACCTCCCCAATTTGTTTGGTCTTCATGAGCTAACACATCCTGCTATTTTCATTTCCCATATTTATTTATCCTTCCCCCTATCTTAGCAAGAGAGCCTTTTGATTTTGTCTGAAGAAAGTATACAACAGCTACTCATATTTTTGATGGGTACATGGTTTCTACTAATATCAATTATTTTTAGTTTGTGTTTTTTGCTATAGTTTGTTTTTAGGTTCAACCTTCCCCTCATTTCATACCATCATGATATTTTTATATATTTTTTATACACAATTGTACATAAAATTTTATGTCATGGGGTATATTGTAGGTTCCCTGTGAATTTGTGGTATTGTGGTATATGTAGTATTGAATGATGTGGGATGAATTTTTGTGGTGAATGAGCAAATTGTAATGAATGAATGAGTCGTGAATCTGATTAATTAGGTATAGGATAGTTAGTGTTGACCATTTTTGGCCTTGTGCCAGAACTGCTGTATTCATATAATAATCATGGCCATACACAAAACAAAATGAGATTTAAGGATTTGTGGTGACTACAAAATTGGTGTAAATCACCAGATATGTTTGGATTCCTTCCCACTGCTAAATATTGAAATGGCCTGTTTGCTGGCATGAAATTTTTTACCAAGATTGATCTGGAATCTGCATATAATCAGATTAAAATTGACGATCACCACGATAAACACTCCTATAGGTCTTCTAAGGTGGTCTCGTCTGCTGTTTTGAACTAAAACATCCAGCCATATATTCCAAAAGGCAATTGAGAAAGTTTTGGAAGGCATAAAAAACATTATTGTCTATCAGGATGACATAGGTATTGGTGCTCGTACTGATGAGGAGTTGAAGAATGAAACAGAACAGGTTCTGAGCAGATTGAGTAATGCAGGCATGATAATTAATCGAGATAAATGTAAATTTAATTGCAAGAAAATTTCATACTTAGGGTATCAAATATCTAAAGATGAGATCTCACCAGATGACAGACTCGTTAACAAAATTGGACAGGATGTGTTAGCTCATGAAGACCAATTTAGATGGCAGAGAGAGCTGGAAGATATTGAAATAGAGAGGAGCCTGGTGCAGAAGAGGTGGATCAGGATTATTATCAAGAATTGGTGAGTGAAGGGGAAAAGAGAATGAATATGTCTAGTGATAATGAGGAATGTGAGGATTCGAATTAGGAAAATCAGGTAAGACCAAGATCCCCCATAAAGAGGAA